TGCCCTTCTCCCTCATCTGACTGCCACATCTACAAACTCTCAATCATCCATCTCGGGGGGCACTTCCTCCAAGAACACTTCCTTGCTCCTCAACCCATCAGCTCGAGGTGATCTCTCTCAACTGTGGCGTTTTATGGTACTTTACCTTTATACTTTGAAATTTTGTCATTTCTCCCATTAGTTAACCCCCTTAAGGGTCATATGAGATTCCTGTTTTCAAGGAGCTAGAGAGTTCCATGAATATTTACAGAATGACACAATGAATGTTCTACTTCATTAATTAATAGTGGTTCAGAATCATGGTTTTGGAGTCAGAGAGTTCTTCCTAAGTTTTCCACTATTATTCTGTGTGATCTTGGGCAAGTCGCTAAGCTTCTCTGAGCAACACTCAATCAGTATTTATAAAGCACTTACTATGTGTCAGGCACAGGGCTAAGCTCAAGTAAGGAAAGGAACTCAGTCAGGTAATTGAAACAGACATGAAATGAATACACATGAAAGAACATAATACAAATTGTGATAGTTTCATTAGAGACAAGACAAGTTATGAAAAAGAACAGCAAGCAAAATGTATTTTTCAAGATAATCAGAGAAAATTGGATATGGCCTAAGTACAGACAATGTTAAGAGATTATTGATGGGGGTGATAAAATATTGAGGTTATATTTTAAAGGCCCTTATGTGTTAGGGATTCATAATCTAGTATTTACAGGTAAAATAATATGAGTGCTTGGATTTGCTTTAAAGCACACAAGCAAAAAAATTGGTTTGGAATAAAAAGCCAAGAATTTTAAAACCAATGATGGGTAGACAAGGGTTTATTATGCTATTTTCTTTATGTTTGATCATTTATATGATAAAAAGTTTCAAAAGAAAGTAAGAACAGAGGACAAAAGAAGGCCTAATTTCTGTTGGGCAATCAGAGAAGACCTCAGACATTTGGACTGAGGCCTTAAGATTGGGTAGGAGGGAGCCAAGGGAAAAAGAATGAGAAAGTGCTTTCCATGCAGAGAGTACAACATATGCAAAGGCCCTGAGGCAAGAAAGAACACAACATGTTCAAGAAAGTACAAGGAGGCCTGTATGGCCAGAGCAGAAAGATCAAGGGGTAAAGGGGTGTGTCACATCGTACATCTCTTTCCACCACTTCCTCCTCAGGCAACAAAATGCAGTGGGGCCAGAGGGACCTCTGGGAGGAAAGGAGAGGGTGATTCAGCTACCCCTGGGCTCAGGCCCCAGAACTCACTGCAGAAGGCTACACAGGTACGTGGAATCTGATGGCTGCAGATAGATTTGCAGGGGAGGCAGATGTTCAGCACGGGATCCCAATATTGCTCTTCGGAACATGTCTCCATGGTCACCCCCGTGTGCAGGTCCTGTGGAGCTGAGAGGCAGGGAACATGAGGGAAACTAGCATCCCACTAGAGGTTGAAACCCAGGTGGCCTCTCCTGTTCACATTCCCACTCCTTATCTCAGTGTGCAGAGGGGGAACAAAACAACACTGACTTCCAACCACAACTGTAGTCACTGAGTGACCTGGGGCAGCCACTTCACCTCCATGAACCTGTGAAAATGTCTATTTGAGGCCTCCTCCCTTGCATTGGCTGTGCCCTGCTTGGCGCTGTTCTCTGCCTTTTTAAATGTACTACAGGATCTTTGCACATGCTATTCCCTTTACATAAAATGTCTTTTGCCCTCTTTGGTTTAGTTGTTTCCTCCTCCTCCTTTAGATCTGTTTCCGCTACCTTTCCTCAGAGAAATCTTTCTGACTCTCCCCACCAAGACAAAAAGACACTTTTTCTTCTGTACCCCGATATGCCCTTTAGTTGTCACTTTACCTTTATGATTGTGGTTACTTAATATTATCTTTTCTATTAACTGTGAACATCATGAAGGCAGGGGCTCTGTCTAATTTTTTTGTTTGTTGCTGGGTCCTGAGAACCTAGATAGTGCCTAGGACACAGTAGGTGTTCTTTAGATGAGTGAATAAAAAAAAAAAAAAGCAGACCTAGCTAGTGCCTAGCATATAGCAAGCACTCAATAAATGGTAATTTCCTTCCATTTTTTCATTTTTTACTGACGTATGAGATACAAACAATATCATGTGTAATGTACAGAGAAATTAAGTGTACAGCTTGATGAATTTTTCTATATTTATATAGAGGTCTCCCTTTATCTGCGGGGGACACATTCCAAGGGATGCCTGAAACTGCAGAGAGTACTGAACCCTGTAGATACCTATACATGCATACCTATGATAAAGTTTAATTTACAAATTAGGTACAGTAAGAGATAACAATAATAACTAATAATAAATAGAACAATTACAATAATACACCATAATAAAAGTTATATAAATATGACCTCTCTCTCTTTCTCTCTCCCTCCCCCTGCACCCGTCTCAAAATATCTTATTGTACTTTACTCACCTTTTCACTTAAAGCATGCACTTTACAGCTTCTCTTTGGCATATACAAATCACCAGAATCAACCTTATGCTTTGCAGCCATTATTAAGTAAAATAAGGCTTGCCTGAATATAAGCACGGAGACACTGAAACGGTTGCTCTGATAACTGAGATGGCTACTAAGTGACAAGTGGGCAGGGGGGTTATACAATGTGGAGTCGATGGACAAAGGGATGATTCACGTCCCAGTAGGATGGAAAGGAATGGCGTGAGATTTCATCATGCTACTCAGAACAGTGCACAATTTAAAACTTATGTATTGTTTACTTCTGGAATTTTCTATTTAATATTTTCAGATCATGGTTGATGGGGGGGTGGTTGAAACTTGAGAAAGTGAAATTGCATATAAGAAGGGACTACTGTACTCTGTGTTACTACCACCCACATCAAGGTATGGAACATTTCTTGTACCCTGAAGACTCCCTTGGGCCCTCTCCCATGCAATACCCACTCCCAGAGGTAACTTCTATTTTGAACTTTATCACCAGAGGTTGTTAATATTGCCCATTCTTGAAATTTTGTGTCTGGTTTCCCTGGCTCCATGAGATTCTTCCCTGTTGAGAGTCTGTCAACGGTTCTATATTGGTGAGTTTTCCATTGTATGAATGCATCACCTCTTCCATAATTTTCCATCTGATTTCATGACATTTGCTTCCCCAACCACTTCTCTCTTTAAACATTCTGTAAGGCAAGGATCTCCAACCCCCAGCCTGTGGACCAGTACCGGTCTGTGGCCTGCTAGGAACCAAACCGCACAGCAAAAGTTGAGTGGCAGGCAAACAAGCAAAGCTTCATTGGTATTTGCAGCTGCTTCCCAGTGCTAGCATCACTGCCTCAGCTCTGCTTCAGATCATTAGGCACTAGATTCTCATAGGAGCACTGGTCACTGGTGCCAAAAATGTTGGGGACTGCTGTTGTAAGGCATTCATTTATTCTTTAATGAAATTAAGCTGAGAAAAGACCAGTGGCTCCCTGTTTATCATGGCAGTGTAAACACATGGGTTTATCTTCCTTCCTTCTTGAAACCTTACTAAGAAGACAGGAAAAAATATTTGTTCCTAAAGATAAGAGAATGAAAGAAGTTACTACAACCGAGAACAGATGTCAGCCACATTTTGGAGACAGAAGGCAGATGGACTTCAGTTTAAGATCTTTCTACTTTGATGCCCATGGGGGGAAGGAAGCTGATTTGAACCGCAAAACCCCAGAAAGCTGGAGGCACCACGTATCTCTGACAGTGGAGGGTGTGAGGACAAAGCAATGAAAAAAGAAATGGTTGGGTATTTATATAAGGGGGCTTAACTCCAGCTATATTCTCATTCCCTAGCAGATGATGGTCCCTTGCCCACCCAGGCAGAAGATTAGGGGTCTCCTCAGACACGGCTGAGGATAGCAATAAGGTTCACTCTTCCTCCAGCCACTACCTAAAGAATGCTGTGGCCAGGATTTTAAAAATGTCTCCTTTCCTATCCTGCAACTGGCAGGAAATTAGCAGATTCTGCTATGGGAAAACTGACACAAGGAAAAGACCTGGAGGCAATGACTGGGAGATTTTCTCAAGAAAATGACCAAGTCGCTACCTGACCACCAGAGAGCAAATCTTCTACATTAACAACCCTATCTATTTACCCAGAACTTTCAATAAGTTGTTAGTGCCTCAGTTTGGATTGTGGACCAACAACCAAGGGTCACCTGATATTGAAGCACCACCTCTACATGAAAAACAACTCAAAGAAAGCAGAAGAAACTTGCTGGCAGTTAATAGAAATAATGCAGGGAACAAAAGAAAATTAAAAAGGCAAAAATGGCAACAAATGATATCCTCAGAAAGGTAAGAGAATTTTTACATTCACAAAAAAATAATGGTAACTATTTTAAAAGAAGAATATGTATAAAACAAGTAAGAATTACTAGAAATTAAAAATATAATACTCAGAATAAAAACATCAATAGAAGAGTTCAAAGAAGTAATTGAAGAAAGTTTCCAGAAAATAGGGAGAGAAAGGAAATGAAAATTATGGAATCATTTTAGGAAGTCCAAAGGTTGACTAATGGGAATTCTGAGAAAACAGATTTGAAGGACATTAGCTTCCATATTCAAAGAGCTGATCAGGAGTCTGGCACAAACCAAGACCCATCATGAAATTTGGGAGCACCAGAGATTAAGAGCAGATTCTAAAACCTTCCTGATAACAAGCAGGTTACTCACAGAGCTTTGTTAATTGGAAAGTCAGTAGACATCTCAAATCAAAACTGGAATGTAAGGAAAACGATATCAGGGAAAATGAAAGGGTAGAAAGCTCCAGTAATCTGCCCCTTCACGTACTGAGTTGGTAGCAACTCAGTAACTATTTTTGAACTCTGCAGTTGTCCAGGGGAGAGCTTGTTGAAGAGGCTGGTAAATTTTGGTGCATTTCAGTCTATTTCATGGTGATTGCTACCACTCCCCAGTCCCCAGCCCATGTAGGCAGAAGTGTGACAAGTTGCTCATGTTCCTGGTACAACTTGCTGCAACCCAGATGGTCAATAACAACCTCCAAATATTGGGATTGTGGGTTCCGATTGCCAATTGCCACTTTTGATCACCAAAGATCCAGCCATTGTTTCAACCCCCAAAGACTGATGTGGCATCCAGGGGATTTAAAGAGGCAATATTCTCCCCCCCGACCCCCCGACACACACACACTTTTTGGGAGCCAGATATTTAAGAAATTTTTGTCAGATCACTAGCTGACTGCAGAGATAAAGGAACAGAAACTTCAGGGTGACACAAAAGGAATACATATTTTATAAAATAGTTTGGAAGAGTCACAAATGGACTCCAACCATTTAGCAGTTCCTAAGGAGTGAGAGCACTAGATTTCCAGAGTGACTACAACATAATACAAAAAATGTCCAGTTCCCAAAAAGCTGACAAAATATACAAAGAAGCTGGAAAACATGGCACATTTACAGGTAAAATAATTTGACAGAAACCATCTCTGAGGAAGTCTAGACATTAGAAATATTAGTCAAAGATATTAAGTCACTGTCTTAAACATATTCAATGAGCTAAAGGAAACCATGGGCAAAGAACTTAAGGAAATCAAGAAAATAATGTACCAAAAAAAAAATGAGAATGTGAATACAGAAATAGAAATTGCATAAAAGGAACCAAAATTTGGAAGTAACCAATGTTTCCTTCAGCAGATGAAGATAAGACAATTAAAATTATTTTGCCTGAGAAACAGAAATAAAAAAAAAATGAGGAAAACAAACAGAACTTGAGCGACTTGTGCAACCCCATTAAACATACCATCATATGCTTATAAGAATTCCAGAAGGGGAAGAGAGAGCAAAAGGGGCAAAAAAATTAAGAAATAAAGGCTAAAAACTTCCCAAATCTTAGGAAAGTCTTGAATATACAATTTTAAGTATCTCAATGAACTTCAAGCAGGGTAAACTCAAAGAGACCCACACTGAGACATATCATAATAAACTGTTAAAATTCAAAGAGAAAGATAGAATGTGAAAGCAACAAGTTGTCACATACAGGTTATCCTCAATAATATAAACAGTTGTTTTCTCATCAAAAACCATGGATGCCCAGAAGCAATGGAATGATATATTTAAAGTCTTAAAAGAAAAAAAATAAACTGTCAACCAAGAATTGTATATCCTGAAAAACTAGTTTTCAAAAAATGGAGAAATTAAGACATTCTAGATAACCAAAAGCTGAGGGAGTTCATTACCAGTATACCTTCCCCACAAGAAATGCTAAAGAAATGCTGAAATAAAAGTGCACTAGACAATAACTTGGAGCCATAAGAAAAAATAAAGAACACTAGTAAAGGTAACTACAAAGATAAGTATAAAAGCCAATATTATTGTACTTTCCGTGTTGTTTGTAACAGCTCTTTTTTCCTATATGAATTAATGGGTCAATGTATAAAACAATGATTATAAACCTATGCTACTGGACATAAAATGTATAAAAAGGTAAGATGTGACAATAACAATATAAATGGGAAGGAACAGAGATACAGGAAGAGAGTGTTTCTATACCATTCAAACTTAGTATTACTCAAACTAAGTTGTCACAAATTTAAGACGTTAATTATAATACCAAAGGTAACCACTAAGAAATTTTTAGAAAATACAGAAAAGGCAAGAAAAGGGGAATTGAAATGGTACAGTACAAGTAAGCAACTAAATGAAAGAAATTGTAGCAATGGGGGAATTGAGGAACATAAATACATCTAAGACATACAGAAAACAAATAGATAAATGACAGAAGTAAATCCTTTATAAATAATCACATTATATATATGCACTAAACTCCCCTATTAAAAGGCAGAGATTGGCAGATTGGATTAAAAAAGAAAACAATACTCATCTATATGCTGTCTAAAAGAGACTTATTTTAGATAATAGGACACAAAGAAGTTGAAAATAAAATAATGGACAAATATATTCCATGTAAATAATAAACAAAAGAGAGCTGAAGTGTCTATATATTGTCCTTCAAAATATATTTTAAATCAAAAGAGGTTATGAGAGACAAAGGACAACATATATTGATAAAACATTTGTTATAATAAGATGTAACAATTATAAATATATATGTACATAACAACAGAGCCCCAAAATACATAAAATAAAAATGACAACATTGAAGGGAAAAATAAAATAATATTTGAATATTTCAATTCCCCACTTTCAGTAATAAATAGCAGAATCAGACAAAAAGTCAATAAGAAAAGAAGGAACTTGACCAACATTATAAACCAATTACACATACAGAACACTACACTCAACAACAGCAGAATATACATTCTTCTCAAGTGTACACAAAACATTCTCTAGGTTAGATAATATATTAGGTCACAAAACAAGTTTTAATAGGTTTTAAAAGTTTGAAGCCATTCAAAGTATCTTTTCAAATTAAAATGGAATGGAACGAAAAGTCAGTAACAGAAGGAAAACTGGAAAATTCATAAATACATGGAAACTAAACAACACACTCTTAAACATTTAATGAGTCAAAGAAGAAATCACAAAGAA